AATGGACTTGCATACGTGCTATACTGTACACAATGTAAGCTTTGAATCAATTAAAGTACATGGATTTTCTCGTATTGGGACAAATATCAATATATATTTATATATTTAAATATGTATTTATATATATAGGTATAGGTAAATCAATGCCACTTATTTATATCATTCCAGTGATTTAGAACCTATAAATATACAAGCGGCATCTAGGACCTTCAAACACATTTGAGTAAACATTTCCATTCCCCTCACAATGTTTCTTTAGTAACACCATCATATCTTCAACATTAAATAGTACAAAGGAGAGTTGATCATATGGCGCCCTCAGAATAAGAAAGTCCATCCACGATTTTTGAACAAACACCAATAATTGCGTACTTATATCTATGTTTGTCATTTTAAAAATGTTCACATTAATGGGATGTCCGAAATGCAGACACTCCATTAAGGTAAAATTTAAAAGCAATGTTTTTTTTGGGGGCGGGGGGGTTACCAATTGATTTTTCTTGGAGGTGGGCAAAGTTCCTTTTGTCTTCCCCATGTGTTTGACAGAAAGACTGCCGTGTGAAAAATACATCCACCAAGTGAATGCGAGTGTGTTTGTGTTGTTCTTTTGAGGTTCACAACTCAGTGTGCTGCTCACGGTGGTGCAATGTGACTGCCGCAGAGAATCAGATGGCAGAACGGAACAACATATCTCCAAATTAAAGTTACATAGGAGGAAGGTAGTTCATTAACAGCACAGCCAACCCCCCTCCATTAAAAAAACAAAACCCAAATCAAGTCAATAACAATAAAAACAGAATAATAAATAATAGATAAAAGCACCATGCAGCTGCACGCTGCCTAATTTGCCTTCAGGTCAAGACATATTTAAATCATCCTGAAGTGAGCAGTAGGGGCGTCAAATCACTATAATATTGAATATATGTATTCATTTGAAAGCTACGACAAAGCATTGGGGCCACACTGAAAAAATACAAATAAATTAAGGACACTACGAGAGAAAAAAAAATATTTTGAGAAAAGAAATTTATTTTTATGAGGAAAAAGTCACAAACGTAAAACAAAATCACATGATGTAATGTAGGAATCAAACTCTCTCTCTCTCTATATGTGTGTGTGTGTGTGTGTGTGTGTGTGTGTGTGTAGTTTTAAAAGTAGTAATAGTAAAGTTTGGTGTTAAACAACCGTCTGAGAACAATCTATCTATCTATCTATCTATCTATCGATCTATCTATCTATCTATCTATCTATCTATCTATCTATCTATCTATCTATCTATCGATGACTCAGTGATGGGCACCGAGTGGCCCATGGAAAAAAATGAAAAAAATTCAAAATATGAAAAACTATTAAAAAAAAATACAAACATCTGCAAATATGAGAATCCACGGCCGAAGTGCAACTATGCAATGGTCAACTGTAGCTTTAAGTTGTAATGTAAGCATCTACCAGTAGATGGCAGACATGTCTTTGTTGTGCTTACACTGGGTCTTGTGCTGCCCTATACTACAACGTGAGCAGGCCAAATTTTGTTTTTTTTACGGCTTTGGAACGATATCAAGAACAAACATAGAAAATAACTTTACAATTGTGAGTGAGTTTATTTTTGTCAAAAAACGTGTGTTCTTGCAAATGATGTTGGTTTCCTGTTGAGCAGTTTTGTGCCCTCTTTCAATGGTATTTTTATGGAAGGGAGCCTTTTGAACTGGGGAAAAACAGTATGTGTTTTTTGTTTGCTTCAAACCCTTTGTTGTTGGGTGAGGACAGTAGAGTTTTTATACATGCAATGAAAAATGTATGATCAAAAATGAGCTCTATTACGAGCACATATTTTGCAGGTATGCATACATTTTCTTAATTTTTAAAATATAATTTTTGTTCTACATCTCATTAGGAAGTGTGTTGTTCGATGTGGCCCCCAGTAGCACTGATGAAAAAATTGTGGCCCCCTCCAGCATGAAAGTGCCCCCCCCCCACACCTCCCACACATACCAAACCTTACTATTACCGCTTATATGAATTTCTGTTTTGTGTGGCCCTAATACTCTTTTTGTAAACACTAATGCCACACATTGCGTGTGCTATTTCGTCAGTTCTTCATGTAGCACTTGAGTGCAATCTTGTCGCCCCACATTGTAACTCACACACTACTGTAAATGCATTCTAACTGGTAGAGGTGTTGCTGATTGTTGAAATCAGTTGATTTCAAGAAGAATTGTTTAGTTGAGTTATTTTTTTGCAGCTGCACGGAAGCTAACTGCCAGGTAGTGTCTATTACCTTAAAAACAGAAAGAAATGTGCGTCAAAGAAGGAGTTGAACCCTGCATCTCTTAATGTATATTGAGGGCAACAAATGCAGTGCATGGTATTTAGAGTCGCATAATATGGTGAAAAGGCAGTCCAATTTAATAAAAGTGCAACTTTATCTCTTCTTTTGCTCCCATAAGTGATTTTGTCAGGTGCTCAAAGGTCACTGTGAAGCACATTTCTGGCTATAATTAAAGAGAAACATAATTATGATGTTATCGCACAAACATGTAAATGGATTAAAAAAAAAAAAAAAAAAAGAAAATGTGCGTGTAAATAATTCTGGCCGTTACCAGTGAAAGTCGTGAGTGCAAGATTGCACATAATAACTTTAGTTTGGATTTTAGCAAGGAGCAAATTTCTGAAGCTTTACTTTCTCCAACCAGTTGTGCGGTTCTGATCGCTATGCTATTTTATTTATTATTTTGTACATTTCCATTGCCAAAAAATAAGAAATAAACAATACCGGCCCATTTTTCAGTGGAGCATTAGCACAGTAGGCTAGTGCAGGGCGGAGCTAAGCACACTGCTAGTTGCTTGCTTAAGAATTTTATGTCAGTACACAACACTATTTTTATTATTATTATGATTTTTTAAAGGAAATCTACTGGTAAATGTTCTATGCTCCTGTTTCAATGCTAGAATAGTGCTACTCAGGAATTGTGCTACATCATCCGTACGTAGCTTAACTCGCCATAGCTGACATCACAATTGGGCTTCTTTTGACAGCAATCTAGTGATGGAATCACCAACACCTCTGCTGCTTGCATCCAAGGAGTGCACTACATTTTGTCTCACATTCCACCCCATTGGCCAAATTTTCAAGATCTATTAATCAATTAGCATGCCCATTCCCAGGAAAACACAAGCTTGATTGATATTTCCCAAAGTAAAATAATACTGCTGAATGTAAATGCGGCTCAAACGAAAGGTCACCTTTTGCCATTGTGGTGTTTGACAAAATACTTTGAAGGCACATTTAGTACAGTACTTCTTAGATCCCAGGAGTAGCATGGAGTGGCTTCTCTGGATTTGAACGCATCAGTTGGATCCAGAATCATGGCGACGGGTCATTTCAAACCTCAAGCGTGGGGCTGCTATAGATGCAAGGGTTTATTTAAATCAGGTAATTTTTGATGTCAGCGGGGAGGTGAGGCAGTAAACTTCCCACTTGTGAATCAACATTTTAATTTGGACTGAAGATAATCATGAAACAGCCTGTCGGAGCACACAGGGAGTTCAACATGATGTGATTCTAGTTTGTGCAAACAAAGTCCAAACCGAACCGCCCCTCGATGCATTCAGGGATGAAATGAACCGTGTTTTATGTTTGTGAATAAGCCAGAAGATTTAGCGAGCAACAGCGCAGTCAAAAAGGACGGCGGGCGCAAAAGCGGGAAAATCCTTATATGCTGTGTGCACCGTGGCATCTGGCCATCTGAGCTCAGCCGAGTATTTGCACGATGCGTTCGAGGGCCAACAAATGTGCATGATACGCCACAATAATCATGACACAGCAGTTACACAGGGACTAACCCCGATGAGCATTCATGAACTCACGTATGGGTTTAAGTGTCAGAACGTGAAGGCTGTAATTGCAAATACGATCGAATGAATAGAAGGGAATTGTTGATGCCATTTTTCCTCCCCTAATATTCAACATCCAGTACATTTAATGTGGAGTACAGTGGTGCCTTGAGATATGAGTTTAATTCATTGCGTGAAAACACTGGTAACTCAAAGCACTCAAATCACAGAATCATCTTTCCTCATTAAAATGAATGGAAAAGCCAGTAATCGCTTCCAGCCAACAAACGAAGAAAATTGTACTTCATAAAAACATGGCAGGAACATGAAATAGAATGTCAAGTTTCGGCGTGAGTACCTTGACCACCGGGCAACAGTTTAATACAGTGATACAGGCGAGGTTTCAGTCAACAATTGTAAGTGAATCATTATTATAGAGTAATTTTAGTCATTTTTCGCAGAGGATAAAGAATGCATACTTGTGAGTTTTGTTATATTGTCTCTCTACATGTGTTTTGCCACAGTTTGTGGTTGAATATACATTCCCTAAAACAACACACATATAAGCATTTTTTTAAGACCATCTTTCATTCCCATTATGAATTAGGATTAAGCTAGCTGATTTAAAGGCAACTGGGAGTGGCAACAATTTGAAGGTTCTTTTTTTTTTGGGGGGGGGGAGAGAATTGTTCTCTGCCAAGCTACGGCAGGATGTGAAGTGAACTAAGTTGAGTCAAAGCAAAATAAATACATACATATATAAATCGCCCAAATGATCAGATCTCAAAGTACTTGAAAGTCAGGTCATGCGTATCTCAAGGCACCACTTCACTAGCAGGTGACAAATGCCATTAAATTTCAGGCTGTCCTCAAATAGGGCACAAAAAAATCCGCAGGATAGATGATAGGCGACTGTGATTAAAAAAAAATAAATGCATTGAAAAAATAAAATGTCTGCTGTTTCATGTCGACATGCATCACAAGCACACTCTGCACGTCAAACACTCAAGTGTGCGAAAACTAGGACTACACACTCTGGTTCTAACGATACACATGTATCTGTATTTTTCTCCACAAATACACACACACACACACACACACTGAATCTGCTCTATAATACCGTTATATTGGTGCACGCCCTCTTCCCACTTCAAAAAGGAACTCAATTGATTGCAAACATTTGTTCTTTTACTCGACAAATAAATCCCCCGGACAGTCATGACACCTCAATCAATGCCACTGTATGCCCATTCAAATCCAACAAGTGTCACATAACCGGTTGTTTCAAATGTACTTTTACACATTGTTTTTATAAAGGAAGTGAATAAATATATTCCTCACTCATTGTTCATTGTAGATTAACATTTAAACAAGACCATATGGTGCAGATTTTCTCTTTTCACTTTTTTTTTTTTTTTCATTTGTTTAACAAGCCTACAATAAAAATAAATCACCACAAAACCAAACATAGAAGCAATAACAGTGTTTGTGCTTTAAAGTCTTTTAACTGCCATGGCTATTTCGCTAGAAGATTTGCAGTTTCAAGTTCATGTGAGCATATTGGGAGTTTGACATGACGGCAACTCAGTTAAATGTTCTTTTCAATTTACGCCCAATTGAATGATTTGCACTCTTTGATCGGATGGAACATTCAAGAATACAGTATGTCAAACAAACATTTAGTGGCTTGTCTAAATGTCTTTCAGTGAGTACTTTACTTACATTACTATTAAGGCATTGCAGTATATTCTTACATTGTAGATCGATAGATACCGGAGGATGATTATGCCGTATACTGAAAGTCAGAAGTCACCAGGTTCAGTTTACAAAATGAAGAAAAATAGAACGCTTGATTTAGTGCGATGGACGCTCACTTTGTCTGTGGATGATTCAAGCTCGGGTTGCTAAGCAGTTTTCCGCAGCTAACATGGCAAATACTTGGAATGAAAAGTAAGCACGTTTTAAAGATAATTACTTTTCTAGAATTCGCATGTACCTTAGGAGAACATTTTCTGCCATGTTTAAGCTTATTTATGAAAAAAAAAGTGTGGCAATGACAGAGTTGGTTTGGTAGAAATACTGCATTACAGAGAACTGGGAAAATTGGAAAACAAAATTGAAGATTCAAATTGTCAAATCACGGCAAAGCCATGTTTTCTTACTGCACAGGATGCAGCAGTTTGATGTCACAACTATGGCGGTGCCCACAAACACGCTTTAGAAACGATATTAGCCTGTATTTATTGGCTATGTTAGAAATAGCTATTTCATACAACCGGTGCTGCATGTTAATGTGTATGTTGATATATATAATCTATACAGTGTATATGCCATTCCGTCTGCCCCAAAATAGGCTGTTTAAAAAAAAAAAAAAATCAAATTAACGACTCACACATGATAATGTTTTCTGCTGAAACGTTTCATCTAATCTAAACGGCCACTTTCCGACTTCATGGCACTCTTGAAAGTGGCAGATACCGTAACAATCTCAAGTGCAACAACACTGTAAGGTATCCATCCATTTTGAGATCCATTTTTGAATGAACTCTTTTGTAAAAGACAGAGGAGTGAGTCACCCTCCCGAAATGCAAACAGTGGCCCATTAAAACTTCAAGATATGAGCAAAGCACGTGAGCTCGGCTTTTCCTCTCGACAGAAACAAATCTTGAAGAAATGTGACAAACATTTATATCTGCGAAGGGTAAACGAGGCCGTCATCTGTACATTGCCATTTGAATGAAGTCCAAATAAAGAAAAAAAAATGTGTTTGTTCAGATAAAGATGTTACAGGTGACTTTTCTACTTTGCCTACCTGATTGAAGCTGCTAAACAGGCACACCAACGGAACACAAACAAAATGAGGTGACTACTGCTTTTGAATATTTTTTTTTTGTTTTTTTTTACAGTCAAATGAGATTTTTCTTCCATTCAGCTACCTACAATACATTCAAAAGAACATTGTTATGGTAATAATCTGCACTGAGAGAATAGAATTGGCACAGTTGTTTTGTTATAGTCATGAGATAAGATAAACAGAGTAAGTGAAGCTGAGCGTTTGATATGATTGGATGCCAGGGAGGGGGAGGGGCTGATTTCATCCATCAATCAAAAAATTAAAAAACGCAAATAAAGTAAACAACAAATACTATTTACATGAAGTTCACCATGACAAAAACGGAAAAATAATGAATATTTTCCACTCTTTGCCTTGCGACAAACTCCTCCCGATTGGAATCCAGTCATGGGTGATGCCACCAAAGACTCGTAAATGCTCTCGACAGTCATTTTGCTCGCCGCTCCGCCGTTAGTACGCCACCATCAAGGTGGTCAGAGCCAGGACCAGGTACCGGCAGGCCATCGGGACGTGCGCACTTCCTGTACTCCCGTAGGGCGCAGTGTTGGGAGCTGTGGGTGGGAAATAAGAGAACATAAGTCGAGGTGGTGCGGTCACTTGGCAACAAACTCAACACGAGATCTGTGAATGACAATCGTTTGAGTTAATTATTCCTATTTTACAGTTGGTATAGTCAAACTTTGAGGTAGAACAGTAGATGCAGTTGGTTTCTTTTAAGAACAAGAAGACAAATACCAAAGGCTGACTAAAAGTGCTTTCGTTTGAAGAGAATCACAACAGAACAAAATGGGCATGTATGAAAAACAAAAACAGAAAAAAAAACCAACCCTTTCAGAGCCCATTTTAGGGAGTATTTTCAAATGGGTCCACATTTGGGGCACACACATTCTTTTACCTTCAATGAAGTGTTGAAAATGTTTAATGGAGACTGTTTCAAATATTAATCACCCTTCTCAAATAAACTAACATTCTCAAGTTGTGAAAAAGTTGAATGATGAAATAATGTTGAATAAACATGATGAAGACAATCGGGAGACAAATACGTACTGACACTTGAAATGAAACAAGTTGCGTCGGTGGTTATTAATCTGGGTTCGGTGAATCGGTCTCAGGGGTTCGACGAAGCCTCTGCCATGGATGTTCAGACACACCCGACTCAACATGTCAATTAGTCTAATTGACACGCCTACTTGGCCATCACTGGCTGGTTCATTTTGTGTGTGCACAACGAAAAAAATCATCTACTTATGTCTTGAAATGTTATTTAAGTTGTTTTCTGTTTTTAATAAATGCATTTTTTATGTCTTGAATTTGTAAAAAAAAAAAAAAAATCACATTTTTATTTTTCACTTATAAAGGGTTCAGATGAACTGGTTGGGTTCGGTACCTCGAACAAGGTTAAGATCCACTCACTGCATTAGAGCTTCAGGAGGGAGGACAGCCTTTTTTTTATGTTGTTGTTTGCATGACCATCAGAAAGCCACAGTACTTTGGGCACGCCTCTGTTGGGAGCTGTGCTGGGCTGGGCAGCGTTTCATTGGAAAGGGGCTACTCTTCAATTCCAACTTTGTCTTTTTTGCAGCACAACAGAAGTACAGACGCACACACAAAGCGCGGCGAGGCAGTGCAAACAAGCCACGTTCCAACTGGGGAAATCATGCGGTGCAACACCCGTATCAGAAGGGTGCCTCTATTTGCACGCCATTGTAATTAGTTGACTGTAACTCCTTTGGTGTGGACCTCACTCTGTACAAACACTCACCAGCCAAGTGACAAGCATAAAAAGTAAAAAGAAGCCCGTACAATTGTCTCCATGTCAGACTTTAACAAGCCCGGACTGCATTTTTGACTCTGGTTGTGTTGTATTGACAAACACATACAGTGAACGTGATTAGCGATAGCCAAGAAGGAGCTTGTTTTTGACAATGGCAGGGAGAGAACAAAGTGACACCTGTCCTATTATCACCTGACAGCCCTGTTTTTTCCCTGACATTTTCTCACATTATTTGCTACTACTGTATTGAAGTTGTTCAGCTATTACGGAGCAAACTCTGGTTCCACTGACAAGCAGAGAAAGTGGGGAGAGCATCAGTTTGAGGTGTCAAAATTAGAGCACAGTTTGATGACGTGGGGCTCTTTGGCTCTTGTTTTCCCTTTTATCTTTCCAGTTCTATCTTTGTCTCATCTTTGTTTCTTTCTTTCTCGCCCCGCGCTCCTACTCTCTCTTCTCCAATCGGCAGTACAGGATAATGACACAGTTTTCAGCGAGTGAGCCGAGCAAAGGTTTCCATGGCAACAGCCCCTGTTCTGCTCAGCCACCCCAATGTTTGCCGGAGTCTGAGAGCTCTGCATTGTGCTCCCGCCACACCACAGCGACATCATTGGGACTGGTTTCCCCACTTTCATTTATAGATGCAGTTATTATCCGCCCCTTGCTATTATTGTCATTTGGATAACAGCAATATGGGCCGCATGCATTAGGAAGTGTCGAGGCAGGTAGAAGGCTTGTCAGAGTTACTTGGTGCCTGCTTGCTCACAGTGTTTGACTTTAGCTTATTATCTCCTTGTGCCACTGTGAAAAAGCAAAAGCAAAGCCTCCATTGTTTCCACTGTGTGGGCTTTAACTTGCCATTCTAATTAACTCCCAAACCTGGAACTGCCTTGCAACACCATTATTGTGTGTATTAACATGATGGTGAAAAATGGTGAGAGGAAGTGACTCTGCGTGTGTGTGTTTGGGGGCGCTGATGGAAGCAAGAAGTGAAATCAAAAGAAATAAGAGAGCGGTGAAAGAACACAGTGATTGAAGTGAAGCTTCTTTGGGGCTTCAATTTAATTGCCATGTACATCAGCACCCGGCTACAATAAAGCGTCAGACTCTGAGACAATACATCATAAAGAAACCAACAAGGTGCACGAGCGGTGGGAAGACAAACGGCGCTCTAAAGGAAGAAGAGAGCTCACAAATGAGCGGGGATGAAAGCGATATGCTTCAATTAGTGTTTGGCAATACAATGGCACTAAAGAAGCCTCCGCAAAGCAAGAGACAAAGTCATGAAAAACAAAACCTGCTTCCGTGTTGTCGCTGTGGACCGGGGCCATCGCCTATGGTCTCCTGGGAATATGAAGCAGACTCCCTCTTCTTGTTCCCCCTCCCTTATCCTTCCAAATCTCCACCGACAGCAGGTTTGTCACCCACATATCATATGTACAACAAATGTTCGGGCCATGAACCTCACTCACTACTGACACAGATAATGAATCATACTGAAATATACAACAGTGACACTGTTTGGAGTTTGTGTTGTAGTAACATGTGTGTGTTTGTGTGTGTGTGCGTGTGTGTTTCACAGTGTACTATAATTCAGAGGAACACTCTTGTATGAGAATCATTCGCCAAAGAAAATACTTTCATTAACTCGCCTCCCAATTCAATGGCATGTAACATCATCGTCATCTCTCAATTGAGTCGAACTCTCTCAACAACAAAGCTAATTAGGGTTAGTTATTATTTTTCCCTGGCTTGGTAGTTTTAGAAACTGAAATAATATATATTTTTTTATACACAAAGGGAAGAAATCAAAATACCATGGCATTGCCTCAAAGTCCTTTCTCGAGGCAGTTACATGATTTCTGTAAATATCCTCATTTTTTTTCTTTGCCCTGTGTTTGATTGGCAGTCCTTCCAGGCACAGGTTCCTGTGACCCTAAAATAATACGCCAAGAAAATATACGGATTGAAAAATAACGTTTAGCTCGGATGCAGTACCTCTCAGCATTCCCGAGCAATTTCTCGTTCATTAAAAAGCAGCCTCTTCCTTGTCGTCACTCTATTCAAACCTTCCAAAATCTAAAATTGACCAGCACAGAAATTCTCCCTCCTCCTTTTCATGTGTACCACATCAATAATTGCAAGAAGAATCAAGGAACATCTCTGGTGTGGTTGTACTGGACTGTGTTTTGAATTTCATCCCTTTTATTGTTGAGTGACGATTCACCCCCTCGACTCGGTCCAATCCCCCTAGCAGGTTGTTAGGAGTGATGCGTGGACAGGCAGGCAGCCAGCCAGGCAGCATCCCACTCTCCCAAAGGACGCTTCCTCAGATGGGCTCTAAAGGTGGAGGGAGGGGCTCAATGTCCTTGACCATCAAGTCAGTGGCCTGTAAGTCCTATCCTCGCGGCTCCTCTGAAAGTGCCCACGGGTGGCAAAAGCGATCCTGCTCACACAAGCGGCCTTCAATGCACTGAAAAAGCTGGGCCAAGATGGTTAGTCGATAAACAATCAGGACATTTGGTGGTGGAGGTGGCGGCATCATCCACTTTCAAAGAATGTGTCACCATCCATTTTCTTTTTACAAGCTGTGTCGAAGGCCCGTTGTCAGTACCATCACTCCCAACAACAAACAGTATGATGAGTGTCAACCATGAGCGTCGCGCTGCATTCTAGCCGGTCGGTCTGAGACAATGGTAACTGGACTCACTGACCCATGAGTCTAATCATTTCTAACCCTGTTCTTGTTCAAGGCGAGCAGTTTTCATGTTCGCGATTCATCACCTTGGCTATGATCACCATGCACGCCAATTCCTCGGAGCTCTCATTCACGCGCACCTTCAAGCTCATTAGCCCCACCAATCATTTGCATTACAGCGAGTAATGAAAAGCCTCCATTATCAAAATCGCCTTCAGAGATCATTTAACTGCCTCGCAGCAACCTCGCTTGCCGCACATCATGGTACCTGACCCTGAGCATTTATGAACACCCAACTGAATGGTTTTGGGACCCGAAGTACTAATGGCCACTCTCAGCGGTGGGCTCGGAACAAGGGAGGGAATGAGCAAGAGGGGGATCACCCGATAGCTGGCTGAGTGATCGGGGGGCGTCTGATTGAAGGGAGAATTTGGCCTTCAGCTTGACTCAATCAACGAATCAGTGGGGTATCTGGACTCATAACATGGTGAGCTGAGGAAGGAATCTCATTAGGGAAGGTATTTCCGAGGTTCTCCTTAACAACTCATTCAGTACCAGCCAATTCTGGACCAAGTCTGAAAAGACGTTTAAAAACGTCTTTGGGAGTGAGTGAGTTAAAGAACGTCCTCCTTCAGAATGGCTCGACCCCTTGCTTGATTCGTATGTCTTAAGTGGTGTCTATTTGCATGCCTTACCTTTCACAAATATCCCAGTTATCAGTGGAGAAAACTACCCCAGTGGCCTGGGCTTGTGTTTATTGCACCCATCTGTTCACGTCTTGATGTGTGGAATTTGGGAGCCTGCAAATGATGCATTTTACAAGCACGTCTCCTGGGTAAATCTTTGTTTTTAAAAAAGATACTTTATTATTTTCCCCTCCCAACACCTCGAGAGTAAACATTCCAGGACTAAAGAGAAAGAGCTGAATTTTTAATCGCAGTGTTTCAAAAAGTATAATTACTCAATGACTTTGACTGCTCCCTCTAAATCTGTTTAATATTTGTGGCTTAACAAAATGCACAGTGAGACAAACAAATGGTGTCAGCATGCACCAAATTCCCACAGCATCTCACACACACACG